TCAGATCTCGGGTTTGATTTATGTTTAGTCCTTTGAAAAGCCGGGAACTGCTGCAATGATAGGATACATTGATTACGTTGCCCATCGTCTTAACATCAACAAGACGGAGGCTCTCTACCTTCTCGTTGAGTACGATTGGAGCAAGGAACGAATCGAGGCACATATTTATGTTGTGAAAGCAGTCATGGTACTCACGTGGTTCCTGTTACTGACCCTGATATCAGTGACAAATTCGTCTCTATAAGTGTTGTTTTGATATCATGTTATGTTGATGTGTGTTTGATATCACATTCTATTGATGTGTGTGTTGATATCACTGTTCTTGTTCTGTTCCTGAGAAACTGTCATTCTTTGTGTTATGTTTGATAATGGTCTATGTCTTAGGCTTACTGTACCAGTTGCCAATGGGATAATATGTTCTGGAGGGCGGACTGCAGCGATCCCCACTACCTCGCGTGTCTTGAAGCGCACCTAGATCTACAACACATGGCTGGAGTCCTTCTTCCTACTTGCCCGTTGTGCTGTACCTTCTTCAATCCCCTTTCTTTGATCCAATTTCTTCCATCGAAAAAGCAATAGAGGTAGTCAGATCTCATTCTCCAAGACTACTTAAAGACCAAGACACTGTTAACCCTATTCCCAAGACTCTTACGCTATATTTCGCGGAAAAAAAAAACTCATCGCAACCGGTTTCTAATCTCTTTAACTCTTGTGTATCAATTTTTTGTTTTCCCTCATATTTCAGGGTTTATTCAAATCTGTTATTCATCATTTTGATTTTATTGTGCAGGAGGTTTTAAAGATCTAAATCGCAGAAGAAGAAGAAAAAAAATGTGTTTCTCACTAGATATCGTTTCTTATGTATAAACCCTAATCTATCTTCTTCTGTTTCTAGGTTTACTTCAATTTTCGTCTGTTTTCTTTGCTTTATTCGATTGTTTTACTTATCGTGATTCCTGATTTTATTATGTTTGTAAGGATTGAGTAAGATAGATCTGCGGAAATAATAGTTTCTAGAGGAGTGAAGAAGAAGACGCAAAGCATCTTATCTATATACCATCGAGATCTATCTTACACCAATGATTAAGAAAATAATTATGTGTGAGTGAATATGCACAAAACATATACAAGATGGCCAGATAGTTAACACCATTGATTAAAAACAATCATCTACAAGTGAATATGCAAAAATGAACAAGATGGCCAAATAGTTAACACCTCAAACTGTCAAGTATAACTTGAATTTGTTTTCTTAACCTTTTCTTGAATATGATTTAGATGTTGTATTGTATGAAAAAGTGAGAACGTAGTGAAGTCTTTTTTTTTTTTNTTTTTCACTGAAAGTAGAATATATAGAAGGAAGGTTTTGTACAACACGAAACAGGGAAGGACAAGAGTCTCATACAATCAAAGAGCCAAAAAGCAAAAATGCACACATGCATTATAAAAGCTATTGACGACCCTCCATACCAAAAAAAAATTGAAGCCAAAACGGAGGTCCACTGGCTATATATGATTGTATCCGATTCCCAGAAATAACACTATCCGCGATCTTGAACACACCTAAATTAGCAAGTCTAGGTTCCCAAACTAATCTCCAAGCAGGGAATCCTCTAAAAAGAGAAAGTAGACTGTAAGAGTGGAACCTGGAAGAAGGCCAAGCCTGAGGTCTTGAAACCGCTTGAACCAAGTCCTTGTCCTCTGCTGCAAAGATCACATTGATATAGCCTAGAGAAGAAAGGCTCTCAACAGCCCAAATTATGCTTTTCAAAGAAGCCTCTGGTTTGGAGGCCACATTCGCAAAGGACCTTCTGCCATGGAGAAGCACCTTTTCAAGCTCATTTCTCACAACCCAAGAGGCTCCAGTTTCCCGAGAGAACTTGTTCCAAGAAAACCCGATATTGCATTTGACCCAATTGGATAGTGGAGGCCGCCACTGATTCTTATGGTTCTTAACATCATTGATAATAGTATCCTCCAGAGCTCTCTCCACTAATTGAGACATGAACCAATGATTGGAGGCCTCTAGAATCTTATTGATCGTCTCTAACCCACAA